GGTTGGGCTGACGACCGGAGAGACGGCAGCGGGGCAGGCAGGCGAGCTGCCAGCGCCGCCGGAGCTGCTGGTGGGGTTGGTGGCGGGAGTGGAGCCGACGGCAAGGGGGTGGGGCGGGAGGAGCTTGATGGAGAGAGGCTACGGGATGCCAGGGGTGGTGGGGAGTCTGGTGATGCAGGAGGCTGTACGTGCAGGAGGAGCAGCGGGATGGTACAGGAAGGAGCAGACGAGAGGCCTGGAGCTGACGAGCGGTCAGAGCGTCGCGGGGTGGGGGGTGGGCGGAGGAATCTTGTCCAGGGCGACGCTCGCAGGGGGAGGGCGAGGAGAGATGATGGCGAGCTGGCGAGGAGAGCGAGAGGGACAGCGATGGCAGGAGGAGCTGAGGCCGGGAGCAGAGGCGGGGCTGCTGTCACTGGGGATGGTCGGTCGGTCGGGGTGGCCGCGAGGAGACGGGGAGGTAGGAGAGCAGGGGTTGAGCAGCGAGGCAGCGGAGAGGTTGCTGAGGCGAGGGATGGAAGCGATTGCAGCGGGGAGGGAGCAAGAGACGACGCTGAGGGCAGAGATGGCTGGGGGAGATCAGCCGGGAAGGATACAGGTGAGGGTGAGGGAGCTGAGGGAGAGAGCGGAAGGAGGGGGAGGATGACAGGGAGGCGGCAAGAAGGTGTGATTGGTGGGGGGGGTTGGGAGGGAAAGCAGCAGGAATACATGAAATACTGAGATGTTCGTCGGTAACAATGTCTTAGCAGGGCGTGTTGGATAATTTGGCCGATGAAGCTTCAATGCTGAAACAAAATGAAATGTCTCAATTCAAGGACAACGGGGATGATTCATTTGATGTGGACCTTTCAACCTGGCCAAGCTTGCCTCAATTCTCAAAGTTCCTCTCCTGAATTTTGAATCTTTGACCAGGAGCCTTGTTATGAAGTTGAAAAGTTTCAACCGAGTCAGGCTAGTTGCACTCCAGATTACATGAGGAGAAACAATCATCAAACGCGATTGACGAAATGGTTTAATAAAAATTGATTTACAGAATCACTTCACATACAATGTAATACACATAAAACAAGTTTGGAGCTGATGAAATCTGCTAATCAGGAGCATTCAGTTCAAAGAAGAGACCTGATTCTTGCTGATCTCCGTGGATCAACCCCGGGTCGATAGACTGAAAATCGTTCTGCCAGAACATGTCAGAATCTTAGCTTCGACTACCGCACCGTCCTCCCTTCCCTTCTTGCCGCCTCCCTGTCATCCTCCCCCTCCTTCCGCTCTCTCCCTCAGCTCCCTCACCCTCACCTGTATCCTTCCCGGCTGATCTCCCCCAGCCATCTCTGCCCTCAGCGTCGTCTCTTGCTCCCTCCCCGCTGCAATCGCTTCCATCCCTCGCCTCAGCAACCTCTCCGCTGCCTCGCTGCTCAACCCCTGCTCTCCTACCTCCCCGTCTCCTCGCGGCCACCCCGACCGACCCAACCCATCCCCTAGTGACAGCAGCCCCGCCTCTGCTCCCGGCCTCAG